CACGATGGAAAGATTTACCACGTTTTCCTTGGGGATTAATGCATATTGGATTCGCCTAATTTTTTATTACATGTTGAATAGTTCATATAATTTATATGATTTAATTCATTTTGAAAAACTATAAGGAAATCGATCAAAAGCGATGACCACAGCCTACTTCGTCGATCGTTTCTGGTATCATGAAATGCGCTCATGACAACTGTAATAGCTCAGGCGAGTGCCTGCAGTCACACGTCTATATCCAAAGCTTGGTCGCCGTCGACTTCCGAGACAAAGCTGCCAAGATTGAGTCATATGGAGCATGAAAAGCATGCACTAGAAGCGTGGATTATTTTTTTAAATAAATTCCAGGAAAAGGTCTTATTTAAGGAGACGAAAAATATTTAATCAGCGTGTTGAGGCGAATAGGAATAACGAAGATGAGAAAATGCCAAATCAAAAAACACGTGGATGGCGCAGGCTGCCACAGGGGAAATCAGGTTTGAACACGTTAACAATTCTCAAATTGATATTCGATGCTTGTTTTTACCTCATCTGCAAGGGCGAAGTCTGTCGGACTTAAGAAATGACGAACTAGCAAGAATGCGAAATAGGGTTCGTTCCTCACAGAGCACCAGATGTACCACAACTGTTTCTCGCATCTTTGAGTAATTTTCCGTATGCATATCTTGTTGCAGTCATTTGAGTCGATCTTATAACCAATGTTTATCTCTCCGGTCGATGAAGTATCCCGTAGACCTGTCATCCCAAAGAACCGCTCATTTTCTAGTAGATTCGAAACCAGCTGCTGTTTGGTTCTATTTTAGAAATAGAGAGGATGATTACAGCGCTAATAAACAACATACGTCATTTCTTCTTCTGACTTCAACAATGCTATGCAACATTGCGAGTAAATACATCGGAATTGCCGTGGGTTATGACATGTTGCAAAAAGAACTCACCATCGTTCGAAAAACATGTTTCAAACTGGCGATATCAGCCCGTGGGAAGATTTCCGCATTCATGGCAAAAAAAGCTAAGGAATTTTATCATCAGTACTAAGGTTAATGATAATCGCAAACAACAATATTTTCCAAAATTTTTGGTGAGCCCTTCATTTAGCATTATATCGAGAGGGAGAGAGAGAAACTGATGATGATGGTGACGATGTTCATGGCTTGCCTAAAACATTAAATCAAGCGAATTTTAAACTTAGCACTCGTCTGAAATTCATTCAAATCGAATGGGACATTTGGATCATGCATGCACACCTCTTCCTAATCCAATAAAACAGCTGATCACTCACGATTAAGCCGCGTATGCGATCTTTCATCCTGACTAGCTGCCTTGCCATTTCCGATAAATAGGCTAAGCTACGTGTCGAAATTGCAAAACCTTCAACCTGCAACAAATGGGCCGTCACTCAATGAGATGCGAAAAAACTGGAAATTACGACTGCTTCCGCAAACCATCGCATCGTTGGTTTTGTTGTTGTTGTTTTTTGCTATCATCGTCTAATGCTTCAGTGATGGAGTAGCCCACGTTTAGGTTTGACCGTTTGAAATACTGTTTCAGATTAATGTTAGGCAACGTTCATACTGCGAAGAACGTCATTACGGAACAATCGATTTGTCCAGATGGTGCAAGACCCGCAGCTTCCATACGTTCATAAAAAGGCATGGATCAGGTTATACTAAACAGACCCTGAACAAGACCATGACCTGAAACTATGAGCCGGAGATATCCAAACCATGCATTAGCCTGCAAATGACAGAATGGTCTGAAACCTACACTCATTAACATTGAGGTCAACAGGTGTACAATCGGATCTCACACGTCGAACGTGGCCGTTTGAAAGGCCATCTAATCGCATTCCGATTCCTTCTCTATGCATGCCGATACATTTGTGAATCTGACCGTTGGATTGAAGGATACTGAAAGAATTCTACTTGAAACACCCCCTGCTTCTACTCTGATTATTATATGGTTTGTGACATGTCCGTAGAACCTGGACATATCACAAACTAAAACCGATCGATATCGAGGTCAACAGGTATGCACTCCGACCTCACATGTCAAAGAAAATATTTGGAAAGACCGTTCCAAGGTCGTCCCTACTACCTCAAACGCATACATTAACAAATTTACGATTCTGAGAACCTGATCTTCGTGACTGAAGAAGGCTAGAAGCCCTAGTCGAAATTAGTCGTGACGTAGCCTTTTTTGCTTAGTAACCAGTAGTAGGAGTAATTGTCTTGTTCGCGCAATTGAAGTCTTATGGTTTATTACAACTTGGTTAAAGTGGAAGTAATTCCTGTCGTGATGGCTATCACCTCTTACTTCAGTCAATTGGTCTAGCGATAGAGATGGAGGAACCGCAGGAAGAGATACTTGCAGTAACAGTCAGGACTTCAACATGAGTACTTTGACTTTCTAGCCGTTGGTAGATTATTCGGGCTGAAATCATGTTTGCGCCACCCATGTTGTGTGTAACTGAGTGTCATAAAAATTAAAATGAATAAATAA